AGGATTGCATGGGATACCCCTTTGATGCGCCTCAATTTGGTTTTCAGTGGTTGGGTAACAGCTCTGGACTAGAGGGAAGTGGCTGGAGTGAGGTGGAGCAGGTCCTACAGAGTGATGGTGCATTACAGAGGCTGAGCTGTTTCTGTGATGGGGCAGTTGTGTTCCTTTGCCAGGGTTTGGTGGGGGTTGGGTATTTCCATGGATGAGAAGTAGCAGTTTAGAAGGTGGGGCAGGGGGCGGGGAGAGGCCTCTGCACAGCTAGTGGGCCAGGGAACATCTGCGGGTGGACACTTCTCAGCCTTGCCTTGTGCAGGGGATCCAGTGGTAGCTGGCTTGTTCCAGCAAATTTTGCCCTTTTCACCAAGGAGTCCAATTTGGTTTAGTTTTGCAGAGTGAAGGGTGAATAGCTCTTTGTTACTGTGTTAAATGTGTGTGTGTGTGTATGCGCTGGTCTGGGCTGTGGGTTTTGGGGGAGCAGCTGACTAGCTTGCTCCAGAGCCTGCTTTATGCCCTGGGCAGGGGACCAGGTGTTGGCTATCTTTTTGTCAAACTGAAAGGGTTACTTCTAATCAGCCCAACTTGTGAGAGTCTTCTCCAACTTTTTTTTTTTTCCTGAGACATGGTCACTCATTACCGTTGTCTGGGCTGGCTCCAACTCACCATTGCCTTGCCTCTGATCCCCAGTAGCTTGAATTACAGGTGTAAATAGTACCATAGCAATATTATAAATGTTTTTAAGTGCATCTAGTTGCCAAATGTTATTTTTGTTATTGTTCTTTCCCATGCTTTGTTGATCATATTGTAAAAATTTTTTTGCCAGTTTGGTTTTTTGGGCTCTCAGCAGAAGTATGTTTAATAGCCCTTGACATTTGTGAATTTTTTCAGATTCTTTTGTGTAATTCTCTCAAATTTTGCCTTTTGTGTCTTGAGTCTATAGTATTTGCATGTAAATGTGCAATTATCCTTCTTGGGGTGCTGTTTCCTTCATCCTTGAAGAGAAACACTTCTTATTTCTCTTTGTGAGTTATCTTCCCATTGAGGTTGAAGATTTCAGTGGATCTGAGTCATTTCTGGGTTTTGTGTGAGTTCAACACTGTGCTCTGCCTTCTCAAAGGACGTATAAATCATTGACACAGTGTTAGTACTTATTGTTAATTCCCTCTTTTTTTTTCCCAGTACTGGGACTCTGCTTTATTTCTCTTTTTTTTTTTTTTTGTGAGGTCAAATATGCATATATTTTAATATTTCGTCTAGCTTTTCCAGTTGTTGGTAGTGGATAATTTTAGGTTATCTGTTTTGCTGAATTATTAAGAGTATGAAATTTCTGAGTATTTTAACTTTACATTCTTTTTTTCATTTATAATCTTGATTAGCATTTTTTACTTTCATATTTCTTTTACTTAGTTCCTTCTCATTTTTATCCAACAGAAAAGAATAAGAGTAAATGTTCATTATATGGAGAATAGAAATCTGTCTGGCATTTTGAAGCAATTATGATTAAAAACAAGTTCTTACCTAAAAATGTTCTTACAAAAATGTGACAGAAATTGACATCTCTAAATTATGTCTGCAGCTTACTTTTAAGTCTATCATGTAATTTTGTTTTTGTTTTATTTTTTACAGTTTAAAACAGAGTGGAAATCTCTGGAAATTCCTGGCCTCCTTACTAAGAAAAGGACCATCACTCCATCCTAGCTATAAGGTCTCATGAGACTTTTGCACTGTAAAACTTTACATATTGTGCTATTCCACTCTGCTTTACAAGGTACACGGTAGTAATTTGAATTGAAAACTTAAATTAGAATTTTTCATAACTCAAAAATGCTAAAGAAATTTTATGTATAACTACCACTTATAAAGCAAAGTGTATTTATACATTTATAATGTAGAGTTACAATCATGATGTTATAATTGCATGTAGATGTGATTCGCATGTTGAAAATAACCATGTAGCTACACACATTTGTGGAAAACTATTCATCTTATTCAGCTTCAGATAGGAATATTTTATTTTGTGATTTTTAATATAATAAGAAGTAAATGTTATGGAGCTAGAGGAAGTTCAGGCCATGAACTAAGGAACCAAAAAACCCACCGAACCATTAATGACAAATTTAGATGGCAGCGTATAAGCAAGTAACCTTAGTTTAGGGTGGTTTCTCTTTGCTTTTTAACCTCTCATTAGGAATGTGACATGGAGGGCTTTGAGTGAGGTGCCTGTTGTAGCAATATCAAAAGCTTATTTTTGGTAAACATTTCTCAAAGATGCTTTATTTTCTTGTTACATAGGATTTTTTTGTTCCTGGGTCTTTGCACATACAATGAACTTACTTGACTAGTATTAATTGTGTCCTTAAGCTGGCATAAGTGGCTTAAACCATAATCGTAGCTGCTTGGGCGATGGGTTTGGAGGAGACCATCTGGGCAACAATGTACACGAGACCCCTCTTAACTCATGGCTAGGTGTGGTGGTACATGCCTGTCATCCCAGCTTGCAGGAAGCACAGATAGGGGATCACATCCAGATGGCCTGGGCATAAAGCAAGACCTATCTGCAAAAATAACCATCAGAAAGGGCTGGCGAGCATGGTTCAAGTGGTAGAATGCTGCCCTAGCAAGTGCAAGGCCCTGAATTCAATCTCAGCCACCCCTCCCACCAAAAAAATTGTGTCTTCAAAAACATTTTACAGCCATACCTAATACTCAGAAATTCACAACTTTAATTTTACCAGATTTTAAGAACGTTAATGCTTGATAAACAATCTGGTATCTGTTGTCTTCAGAAAGTGTCAGCAAATTAGGATATAAAATATCCTAATTCTTGTTAATTTACTAAATATTGGTATAGTTATATTAATAGTTTTTAGTGGGCTATTTAATTTGTTAATCCATAGGAAGTGTGCAAGTTGCTAATTTCTAGAGTGCTATTAAGTCCTATGTAATTTTCAGAGGAAGCCTGGTTTTTTTTTTATTATAGTATCTTTCACTTACATACCTGATTTTTATGTATCTGATTATATTTTTCATCTTTATTAAAATGTTTTTTGGATCTTTAATGAAGATACTTTGTGGATAAAAAGTAATCAGATGTATTTTTTTTCCCTTTTCAAAGATTTTGATGGATCACCAAAATCTGTCAGAACATGTACTCTGTATGGTTTTATATCTGATTGAATTAGGATTGAAAAACTCTGCTGAAGATGAATCAGATGAAGAGGTAAGTAATTTTTATATTTTCAGAATTTTTAGGTAAGAGGCAGCCTTTATCTGTCCATGCAACTGATTCCAGGTCTGTATATAATAAAGTGTGTTTATGGATTACCCTTAAAGTGTGCTTACAAATTCTTTAAATTTATATTAGAGCTAAAGCGCAATAGAAAAGGCCCTTTTTGATCTTCAAATATATATAGCTTTTAGAGCATTCCATTGATACTTATGGGATTTAATACTGTGTGTTTGAGATTATCATTATCACAAAAATTAAGAAAAGTGGTTAATGCATTTTTGATGTTATAAAGAAGAATATTGATTATTGGTAAGCAATCATTAAGTTAGGACTTCAGTGTAGAAATTCTATTAATTTGATTAGGGATTATTTTTAACAGTATGTGCTTTCTGAAAAGATTTTAAAGTAATGAATAAATGAGAGATTTTTTGTAGCTACTATTGCATTTTTAAATTATATTATTGTTGTACCTGGGGTACAGTGTGACATTTACAAAATGCTAAGATATAGCTTAGTTTAAATTCCCCCATCCATCATTTCCTTTATCCTCTCTCCCCCCAAAGAGCAATATTTAAAGTACTTAAGAATACAAGTTGTTAATGTGTTTCAGGGCTTTACGTATTATTTCAAAAAGCAATCATTAGAAATTAATTTCACAATTGTCAGATTTCCTGACTCCAAACGACAAAATAGAACACAACCTAATAATAACAAAAGAAAAAAAATAAGTAGGACTAGACTGTGACTCAAATGGTAGGGCATGGCATGCAAAACCCTGGGTTTAATCCCAGCCTCTCCCGCTGCTCTCTCTCCCACCAAAAAAAAAAGGAAAACTATGGTAGGTCATACTTCTTGGTTGATTTTTTCCCATCATAGTCCAAGGGAGCATTATTTGACTATATTATGAAGGTATTACTAATGGGAAATACATATTTTGTAATGTTAAGTATTTCCAGATTTCAATTTGGAATCTGGTTTATCTTTAGGAGATAGTTTGCTAATTCCACTAATTTATCCCTGTATTTTATACTTGAATTTGGTTATTTACTCACTTTATAATTCCAGATGAAACTGTAAGGGAGTCAGGACTGTGGCAGGCTGTAGATGATTAATTAGGCTTTGTTAAATTTCCATTGTACCTCAGACCTGATGTGACAAGCTTTCATATTCATAATTTTAAAAAAATGTTTTAGGGTGTCAGTGGGTGGACCAGAACGATGTCATGACAGTTGGTTCCCTGGCAGTAAACTTAGTATCAAACAACTGACACTTTATAAAACTATGTGAGAGTGAGAGTTCCAGAGACTGCTCCTGAAGTGAAGAGAGACTCACCTGCAAGTACTAGCTCTGATAGCTTGGGTTCTTTACAAGTAAGTATAAAAGCAAAGAAAGAAAACAAGGCAAAGCTTTGTTATATTGGGATATATTATTTAGGTGAATGTATGATATCCAAAAGAAAAAAAATGAGTTTACAGATAACTAAATTGTCTTTATTTCCTCTGATATATTTTAAAACAACTTCTGCCTTACCAGTTTTTTTTACTTTTTATCTGCAGAGTTCACGACGGCCTAGAGTTCTCCAAAGAGAGGTAGTAGATGTGTATGATGTTTGCATTAACTAGCAAATGGCTTTAACTGGAAATGGGGAAAAACCAATTTGAAGTATTTGTGTTTGTGTGTTGATTAATACAGTTAAATTAAAAAAAATTCTTTATTGTACATGTGTTTTTTTACTATAATAAAGTAATTTAGGCTTAATTTAAAAGAATTCGTATTACTGATCTCAAAAATAATATTGAGTATTTAATAGTGGATTTCGCTTAACAGTGTTAGAAATATTTTGGCCAATATGGTATATGGGATCTGCTTACATTCAGCGTTGCAGCTTATATTGCTAACATCTTAAAGCGACTTTTCCTAAATCAATATTAATCTTAATTACTGTCAGCATGTATGTTAATTTTTTTTTTTTTTGCTCTCTATGGCAATTAATTAACTTTGATACAATAAGCCCATAAAAATCTTGAAACTCCATAGATAGTGCTTTGGGACTCATTTTGAAAAAATAGCTCTCTTATTGCATGTTGCTTTATTAAATTAAAAAGCAGAAGTGAAAAAATCTTGAAATGACATGGCAAATAGTTGAATTTAAACATTTTAGTTCCTACAAACTAGATTTTTATGAGTAGGGAGAATTGAATGAGACATTTCTCATAGTATAGGCTATGTGTAAGGACTTTGTTTTTGACAGTATGTTTTTGTTGTGAACATTTGTAAAAGGTTTCAATTAAAAACTTGGAACCTCTATCAAAGGCAGCTTTTGCCCCTAATGATGGTAGAGTACTTAAAAAATAGCTGGATGTTAATAACAGTGCATACTATAATTTGACTGCACAAAAACATCCTTCTGTGCTAACCTTAAAAAGCAAATGAAATCCATTAAATTGGCTCATATATTAATTAAGAGATGATTTCTAAGAGCACTAATGCAGTTCAACTGCCTTAACGAAAAGCTATTTAGAAGATAAATTATTGAGAAAACACTTAGTTTTAAAAAATCTATTCAAATAACAAATCAAAAGTGATATTTAATTGTGAAACAAATCAATCTCTACATTTCAGTTTGATAACTTTAAGCATTTTGTTGAAGTAATTTTCAAATTTTTGAAGTGTTTTAAAAGTGAAATTAATCACCAGTTCAGATTTATTAACTTAGAAAAATGTTGAAAATTAACATAGTCTTAAATGGAAACTATAGCAGTCTATCAGATGTTAGTAAAAGAGTATGTATAGTTTTTTGAATGTTTATTAGAGCAGTTTTTCTTCTTTTAAACTGAGGAGAAATTTGTTTATGATTCTCTTTATATGAACTGTGGTACTATTAAACATTGTTTTCTTTTCCTTTGTAGATAGGTGGATGAGGTTTACGAAAGAGATGCTATTGTTTGGATAATCTCCTTTTTTCTTCATTATTTTTCCGATTGTATGGACTAATTCTATTTGAGAAGGAAAGTGAAGGGACAGGTTTCTTTTAAGAGAAAATCTAGTGAATAAATCTTTTTATGAACCTTCGATCATTCCTTTTGAAAGATTTAGTGATATATAATTAAATTGATATTGAAAGTATTAATACTTTTTTCCTCTTTCTCATTTTTTACTGGTGAATTCTGGTAACAGCTCAGTTTTTCAGCTTAGTAGCAAGAAGCGTAGAAAGAATTTTCAGGAGATCATAAATCGCCAGTAGCAGTGAAGCAAATCAGGGTGGTCGTCCAAAAACTTCAAATAAGTGGTCTGCTCCTGGTTCAGCTCCCCACTTAACAACAGCCATTTTGGAAATTAAAGAAAGCATATTGTCTTTGCTAATTAAACTTCACCACAAACTCTCAGGAAAACAAAACTCCTACTATCCTCCTTGGCTTGATGACATAGAAATTTTAATCCAACCAGAAATTCCTAAAATACAGTCATGGAGATGGTATAACTGCTGTAGAAAGAATTTTACTAAAGCTGCATTGCAAAGCAGAATGAACAAACGCATCATTGAAGAAGAGTAGTAGAAAGGTGACCCCACCAGTCCCACCCAAAAAAATTACTGCAGCAAGAAGAAAACTCTGGACAAGGAAGAAAGGTAATTTTTTATTAATAATATTTTAAACATGTATGGTATAGTTGAAGATTTGATTTGATTTTCTCCTTTTTTGTCAATCAGGGTTAATCAGTTAGTTGGATGTTTTTAGCAGCACATAATAGCTGATTAGTTTGCAAGATAAATGGAATTGCACATGGTCTGCTTTATATGTATAATATTCGGAGTTCCTTTAAATTTATAGGCTTCATCAGAAAATTTTCTAGTATTGTTATTGCTGTAGGGGATCTTATAATTCTCTGCTATTTAAAAAAAACGTATCAATTCAACTTTATCTGAATAGAAAAAACAGAAGCATTTTAAATATTTCTTAAAATAAGTACTCCTTTGATACTTTAATAATCCTTATCAGTATATAATTGCTAACTATTAAAATGTGGGGAGATGTGTAGGAAGGCTGAATATAGTGCAAATACTGTGTATACATTGTATGTAAATGGAAAAAATGAGACCTGTTGAAACTATTCCAGGAATAGGGGAGAGAAATAAAGAAGAGTGGAGGGGGTGAATTCAACTATGATATATTGTAAGAACTTTTGTAAATGTCACAGTGTACCCCCAGCACAACAATAATAAGGTAAAGATAAATAAAGAAAATTAAACAAAAAAAAAGAAAGGTCACATTCCACAGGCAAAAAAAAAAAAAGTAATGTTTTTAGATATGCCCTAAGTATCTTATGCCTGTAGTTTTTTGGACTTTTAGGTTGCTTCTAATTTGTTATTAAATCATAAAAACTTACAAATCTTCCTTTTTTTAGACTTATCTTTGACTTTCTTGGAATGATTTTTTATAAGTGGGATTTTTGGGTCATGTGCTGTGAACATGGTATGACTCTTAGTGCACATGGCTTGCTAAGAGTTATGTTATTGTGCATTGTCACCACTTGTTTTCCCAAAATTTTTGTCCCCATTGCCAACCTACTCTCCATAAACACAAGGTGAACCTTGAGAGATTGAAACTCAAAAAACCCCAAAAAAAACAGGCTCATGCCTGTAATTCTAGCTACCCAGGAGGCAGAGATTAGGAGGATTGTGGTTGGAAGACAGCCAGGGCAAATGGTTTGTGAGACCTATCTGGAAAATACTCAACAACAACACAAAAGGCTGCCTAGCAAGCATGAGTCCCTGAGTTCAAACCCTAGTGCTGCCAAAAAAAAAGAAAAAAAGGAAAAAGTCCAAAACAATACACAAAAAAACCCACATACCTTCTGATGCATGTACATAATAAAAAACCAAGGACATTAAATTTTTTTCAGATGAAATTAAAGATTTCTATTGTTATCTTCTCTGAGATTATAAGTAATTTATAATTGGTTTAATTTCCTTGAAAACAATTTGTCTACTAAACCAACATATGGAGAGTCTAAAGGGATCATCTCAATATTATCTTAAAGATCTTAAATTAAGAACCTTGAACTTGTGACATCTAAGGCTCTTTCATATAGGTCAGAATCATGTTAAACACATTGTCTGAACTACTGTTGTGAAAATATGAATATATGAATAATACATTATTTAATAGTTTGAAGTATACTTTAGAGGTACTTCTGGCTTATTTCATGTTCTTAGTTACTTTTAAAATTAAACGTACGGCAATTATGAGTTGAATGATCAATGGAAGCCAGCCAATGGATTTTATACTATTGATACACTCCCTATTGATTGAGCATCAGGATTAGTGAAGGAAATACACATGGTTTAGAGTGAGGTAAGAGTGGAAATTGTGAGATCAGGCTATTTTAAGGATTTAGAAGGGCAGGTGTAGTGATGTTTAATATAGGGTAATAATTTGACAACAGATGTGTATGAGATATTAACAAGTACAGGTGTTATATAGCTGATCAATTTGATATGGGAACTGAGAGTCTAACTTCCACGATGCTCCTGTTTACAACTAAGGGAATATAAGAGGTGCTAAGGTTCAGCAATAAAATTGAATATGTTGTTTCTGGACTTTACTGAATTTAAGGAGGACATTTGGGTAAAGATGTCTAGCTAGCAGATAGGGTTTGAGTCAGTAGTGGAGTTTGACCTAATGTCCTTGAGCTTGCTAGGCAAGTCCTTACCACTTGAGCATACTCCCGCCCTTTTTGTTTTGCTTTGTTTTGTTTTTTTGATATAGGAGATTGCTATGAGCCAAGACTGGCCTGGAACTGTGATCCTCTTCTTCCTTAGTTAACTGGGGTTATAGGTATATGCCACTATATCCAGTGGGAAAATTCTTACAGCTTCAGATATCTTCATATAGTAATAGTAGAAGTCTTGTATATGGAAGACTGTGCATAGTGATGAGAAGAATCTAAAGGAAAAAAAAAAGGGAATGAGTAGAAGAGATACCTACAAAACTGACTGAAAAGGGATGACGAGTAGAGTAGGAGGTAATGGATGATTTGTATTAGAGAAGACAGAAAAGGAGGAAGTTAAGAAAAAGAAAGACATTTATCAAGATTGCTTAGTGCTACAAGATTTCAGATAAAAGCATATCAAAACTTACAAATTTTACGAAGTAGTGATAAAAGAGTTCAACATGTATTCTATCAATTCTATTGTCCCTCAGCATTTTTGGACGTCTCCTAGAGTACGTTGAAACTATAGCGTATTTTTGTTTATTTCCATTTTTTTGTGGCAAATATTTGTCCTGTGAGGACAGACTTAATTTTTATGAATTTTTTTTATTTTAAAGCAATCTTAAGAAATGTTTTGAGCAATAGTATGTAACGTCCTCATAGTAGAACACACAAATGCTTATGTCTTTATGGTTGTTCCTTAATTGCCTCCATTAATTTGATGGAGCAAATGAGAAGCAATATAAAAATTTCTGTTAGCATTTCATTCTTCTAAATCTACATGTTATATCTTTTTTCCTCAGCTTTATTAGGGTATAAAGGACAAGTAAAATTATACTACTTATGGTTTAATATACATATATGTCATGTAATGATTACTAAAATCTAATTAACACATCCATTGCTACAGTTACCCTTGTGTGTGTGTGGGGGGGTGATGACACTTAAGATTTATCAGCAAATTTTAAGTAAACAATACAGTATTATTAACTGTTTTCACCATGCTATACATTAGATCCTCAAACTTAAACATTGTATAACTGAAGATTTGTGCCTTTTTCTCCGTTTCTACCATCCATGCTCATAGCAACTACAGTTCTCTTTGAGTTTGTTTTTAAAAATTCTCCCTGTAAATGAGACCATACAATATTTGTTTTTCTGTGTTTGGCTTATTTCACTTACCTGTAATGTCCTTCAGGTTCATCATATTGTTGGACATGACAGAGCTTCCTCTTTTTTTAATGGCTGAATAGTATTCTGCTGTGTGTATTATAAAATGTAAATACATATGTTTGTGTTATATTTTGAATCATTTGCAGATTAATAGAAAATATTTTTCAGGTTTTTCATGGTAATGACTACATTTAATCTTGGTTAAATAATGATTTGACTTTTATAGTGTATAGATATAATGGACAATTAAAAGTGCTATAGTATATTTCATTATGGTTCTTTGTCTCATGGCTTTTGATCAGTTTCTCTTTGAGTTTCATTCAAGTAAAATGTTTGTTCTCCTGATGAGTTAATATATAATTTTCCTTTTAAACCTTTCTTTTCTTCCTTTTCATCCCCTTTTGTTAAAATTACTATTTTAACTTCACTTACTAGACAGTAAAATTTTATGCTCAATAGTACTCTTAGCATCAACATAATCTAGGGAAGTCTGTCTTCTTTCTTGTTTTTTTTTTTTTTAAAATTTTATTTTCCTATTTTATTGTGCTGGGTGGGGATATTTTTCTTATCTCTAAGTTATGGTCTTGTTTTATTGGTATCGGTGGTTTTATTTTGTAACAGTTTCAAAATTATTCTTTGGGATAAATTAATAAAAAGAATGTAGTAAACTAATACAAAGGAATAATTATTCTTTGATTTAAAAATACCGGATTTATTCTTTGTTGTTGTTGTCTTTGACTCTCAATAGTTTTTTTACTTTGTATAAAATAAGTCAAACTTGAATTCTCTTAGTAGAAACTGGGAAATTTACTGCTTTCCTCATCTCCATATTAGGAGAAACCTATTCTTAGGGCAACAGTAATCTGATTATTTTTATCTTTTAGATTTTGTTTATTCTGAACCTCATAGCTTTTAGGCAACCAGCTTAATTCTCAATTTGTGCCTGCAGTTAATTGCTAGTCTCTTGCTGACAAAAACCTCTTCTTGCTTTGCCAGCTGACACATTACTGAAGAAATTTGTGTGTTTGGAAATCCAAATTTTATTATTATTTCACACTTTAAAGTAAATATTGACTTTTATGTTTACCTATTGAATCAGTGAGTATGAAGCCTCTTAGAAGCCATAGAGTCCTTTCAAGGACAATCAAGTCTTAACATAAAATTTAACATGTAATATAGAAAATAGTTTATTTTCCACTGTATGTGAGGGACTTTCATACATTATGTACTCCTGAAAGATAGTAGATTAGTCTTAAACACATCTGGTACTTACAATATTTTTTCTGTTTAGGCGACAGAAAGCTAGAGAGAGGCAGCAGAAATTGCTTGCAGAGTTTGCTTCACGACAGAAAAGCTTTATGGAAACTGCAATGGATGTTGGTAAGTCAAATTTTTTTAGTTTGAAACTCTCATAATTATAGTTATTACTTTAGGGATAACTTAGTCCAGTCTTTCACCAGTTTTAAACTTTATAGACAGATAATTTTTTGTCTTTATTTAAACAATAGAGTAATGGGGAATCAGATCTTTATTATAGACAGTACATTCTGTTGTTGAGTAGAAGCACTTGTTAGAAGAACTTCTTGATGGTCGCAGTACAGTGTGCTTCCTCTGTTCTCTTCTATTAAAATGCCCCTGACATTTTGAGGTCTGTTATATGCATTTGCTTTGGTCTTTTTTAGTGAATTATTCTAAGATCCGTATTAATGGTTTTCAATTACTTTTAGTGGCCTCCTCTTTCTGCTACAATATAAGTATTTCTAAAAGTTAAATGGACATTTTAGTTCAGTTCAGATTAGTATTAGGATTTTTATAATGAGAAGGAACACCATTTTCCTGTATGATGATAGATTGCTATGAGTAACCTTTTCTTTTTCTAAGAAAAATGTGTAATTATTAATGTATATTAATTATACAGATTAATGGGCATTACTGTGACATTTCCATACATGTATGTATTATGCTTGATTGTATTCATCCATCCTAATGGTCCCTCTTCTATTTTCATCCTTTTGTTTTGTTTTATGGTCCTGGTGATTTAACTCATGGCCTCATGCTTGCTTGGCAAGCACTCCTTCACTTGAGCTGTGTCCTTGGTCCTTTTGCTTTTAGTTTGTTTTTTAGATAGGATCATAGGCCAACATTGCCTGGGTAGTATATACAGGCTCCTTTTTCTCCATATCCTCACCAGCATTTGTTATCTCTATTTTATTTTATTTTTGGTAATAACCATTCTGATTGAGGTAAGATGGAATCTCAGTGTCAGCACTTATTATTATTATTATTAATTATTATTATTATTTTAAACAGGATTTGGCTATGTAGCCCAGGATGGCCTGGAACTCAGAATCCTCCTGCTTCAGCCTCCCAGGTACTGGGATTATAGCTGTGTGTCACATGCCTAGCTCCAGTATAGTATTGATTTGCATTTTCCCGATGGCTAAAGATATTGAACATTTTTCATGTATTTAGTGGTCACTTTTATTTCTTTTGAGAGGTGATGATTCAGATCACTTGCTGATGTGTTTGGATTACTTGTTCTTTTGTTGTTGAGTTTTTTGAGTTCTTAATATACTTTGGATAATAATCTGTCAGATGAATTGCTGACAAAAAATTTTCTCCTTTTCTGTAGGTTACCTCTTCACTCTATTGATTGTTTGCTTTGTTGTGCAGAAGCTTTTTAAATTTGATACACTTTCATTTGTCAATTCTTGTTTTTATTCCCTGAGATATTGGTATCCTAGGACATTATTACTTGTGCCAATTTCTTGAAGTATTTCCCCTGTGTTTTTCATTAGGAATTTTAGAGATTCAGGTCTTACATTAAGGTCTTTGATCCATTTTGAGCTGATTTTTGTACAAGGTGAGAGGTAGGGATCTAGTTTCATTCTTTGTCATGTGAATTTCCAGTTTTCCCAGTTTTCTTTAACCATTTGTTAAAGAGGCCAATGTATGTTTTTGTCACTTTTGTCAAGAATCTGATGGCCATAGTTGCGCGGGTGTATTTCTGGCTCTTTTAATTAGTCTATGGATCTGTAGTATGTTTTTTTTTTTTTTTTTTTCATTTTTCTTTTATTATTCATATGTGCATACAAGGCTTGGTTCACTGTAGTATGTTTTGAAATCAGGTGTTATGATGCTTCTAGCACTGTTCTTTTTGTTCAGGATAACTTTGGCTATTTGGGGGCTTTTGTGCTACCATATGAATTTTAGGATTGTTTTCCGTAATCCTGTGAAAATGTCATTGGAATTTTAATGAGGATTGCATTGAATCTGTAGATCACGTTCAGTAGTATGGTCATTTTAACAATATTGATTCTCCCAACCCATGAATGTGGGAGGTCTTTTCAGTTTTTAGTGTTTTCTTCAATTTCTTTCTTTGATGTTTTATTTCATTATAGAGGTCTTTTTTTTTTTTTTTTCTTTTTCATTTTTCTATTATTCATATGTGCATACAAGGCTTGGTTATTTCTCCCCCTGCCCCACCCCCCTTACCACCCACTCCACCCCTCCCTCCCCCCTCAATACCCAGCAGAAACTATTTTGCCCTTATCTCTAATTTTGTTGTAGAGAGAGTATAAGCAATAATAGGAAGGAACAAGGGGTTTTGCTGGTTGAGATAAGGATAGCTATACAGGGCATTGACTCACATTGATTTCCTGTGCGTGGGTGTTACCTTCTAGGTTAATTCTTTTTATCTAACCTTTTCTCTAGTTCCTGGTCCCCTTTTCCTATTGGCCTCAGTTGCTTTAAGGTATCTGCTTTAGTTTCTCTGCGTTAAGGGCAACAAATGCTAGCTAGTTTTTTAGGTGTCTTACCTATCCTCACCCTCCCTTGTGTGCTCTCGCTTTTATCATGTGCTCAAGTCCAATCCCCTTGTTGTGTTTGCCCTTGATCTAATGTCCACATATGAGGGAGAACATACGATTTTTGGTCTTTTGGCCAGGCTAACCTCACTCAGAATGATGTTCTCCAATTCCATCCATTTACCAGCAATGATAACATTTCGTTCTTCTTCATGGCTGCATAAAATTCCATTGTGTATAGATACCACATTTTCTTAATCCATTCGTCAGTGCTGGGGCATCTTGGCTGTTTCCATAACTTGGCTATTGTGAATAGTGCCGCAATAAACATGGTGTGCAGGTGCCTCTGGAGTAAGTCTTTTGGGTATATCCCCAAGAGTGGTATTGCTGGATCAAATGGTAGATCGATGTCAGCTTTTTAAGTAGCCTCCAAATTTTTTTCCAGAGTGGTTGTACTAGTCTACATTCCCACCAACAGTGTAAGAGGGTTCCTTTTTCCCCGCATCCTCGCCAACACCTGTTGTTGGTGGTGTTGCTGATGATGGCTATTCTAACAGGGGTGAGGTGGAATCTTAGTGTGGTTTTAATTTGCATTTCCTTTATTGCTAGAGATGGTGAGCATTTTTTCATGTGTTTTTTGGCCATTTGAATTTCTTCTTTTGAGAAAGTTCTGTTTAGTTCACTTGCCATTTCTTTATTGGTTCATTAGTTTTGGGAGAATTTAGTTTTTTAAGTTCCCTATATATTCTGGTTATCAGTCCTTTGTCTGATGTGTAGCTGGCAAATATTTTCTCCCACTCTGTGGTGTTCTCTTCAGTTTAGAGACCATTTCTTTATGAACAGAAGCTTTTTAGTTTTATGAGGTCCCATTTATCTATGCTATCTCTTAGTTGCTGTGCTGCTGGGGTTTCATTGAGAAAGTTCTTACCTATACCTACTAACTCCAGAGTATTTCCTACTCTTTCCTGTATCAACTTTAGAGTTTGGGTCTGATATTAAGATCCTTGATCCATTTTGAGTTAATATTGGTATAGGGTGATATACATGGATCTAGTTTCAGTTTTTTGCAGACTGCTAACCAGTTTTCCCAGCAGTTTTTGTTGAAGAGGCTGCTATTTCTCCATCGTATATTTTTAGCTCCTTTGTCAAAGACAAGTTGGTTATAGTTGTGTGGCTTCATATCTGGGTCCTCTATTCTGTTCCACTGGTCTTCATGTCTGTTTTTGTGCCAGTACCATGCTGTTTTTATTGTTATTGCTTTGTAATATAGTTTGAAGTCAGGTATTGTGATACTCCTGCATTGTTCTTTTGACTGAGTATTGCCTTGGCTATTCGTGGCCTCTTGTGTTTCCATATAAATTTAACAGTAGATTTTTCAATCTCTTTAATGAATGTCATTGGAATTTTGATGGGAATTGCATTAAACATGTAGATTACTTTTGGGAGTATACATTTTTACTATGTTGATTCTACCAATCCATGAGCATGGGAGATCTCTCCACTTTCTATAGTCTTCCTCAATCTCTTTCTTCAGAAGTGTATAGTTTTCCTTGTAGAGGTCTTTCACATCTTTTGTTAGGTTTACACCTAGGTATTTGATTTTTTTGAGGCTATTGTAAATGGAATTGTTTTCATACATTCTTTTTCAGTTTGCTCATTGTTAGTGTATAGAAATGCTAATGATTTTTCTATGTTGATTTTATATCCTGCTACCTTGCTATAGCTATTGATGATGTCTAGAAGCTTCTGAGTAGAGTTTTTTGGGTCTTTAAGGTATAGGATCATGTCGTCTGCAAATAGGGATATTTTGACAGTTTCTTTACCTATTTGTATTCCTTTTATTCCTTCTTCTTGCCTAATTGCTCTGGCTAGGAATTCCAGTACTATGTTGAATAGGAGTGGAGATAGTGGGCATCCTTGTCTGGTTCCTGATTTTAGAGGGAATGGTTTTAGTTTTTCTCCGTTAAGTATAATGCTGGCTGTAGGTTTGTCATATATAGCTTTTATAATGTTGAGGACTTTCCTTCTATTCCTAGTTTTCTTAGAGCTTTTATCATGAAATGATGTTGGATCTTATCAAAGGCTTTTTCTGCATCTATTGAGATGATCAAGTGGTTTTTGTCTTTGCTTCTGTTAATGTGGTTTATTACGTTTATTGATTTTCGTATGTTGAACCACCCTGCATCCCTGGGATGAAGCCTACTTGGTCGGGTGAATAATCTTTTTGATGTGTTGTGAATTCGGTTTGCCATTATTTTGTTGAGGATTTTTGCATCAATGTTCATTAAGGAGATTGGCCTATAGTTCTCCTTTTTGGAGGTGTCTTTGCCTGGTTTTGGGATAAGTGTAATACTGGCTTCATAAAATGTGTTTGGCAGTTTTCCTTCCCTTTCTATTTCATGGAACAGTTTAAGGAGGGTTGGTATCAGTTCTTCTTTAAAGGTCTGATAGAATTCAGCAGAGAATCCATCAGGTCCTGGACTTTTCTTTTTGGGGAGACTCTTGATTGCTGCTTCAATTTCATTTTGTGTTATAGGTCTATTCAGGTGATTAATTTCCTCTTGGTTCAGTTTT